CCTACTTCCGTAGTGATACTGCCTCGAAAACCCAAGGAGGGGTCGCTATGAGTCGGGGCCGACTCGACGGCACATAACAACAACAACAACAGTGGCGTAGTGCCTAAGGCATTTGACTGCTAACCAAAAGGCTGGTGGTGGTTCAAACCCCCCAGCCACTCCTCAGAAGGAAGACTGGGAAATCTATTTCCATAGAGATACCACCTCAGAAACTCAAGGAGGGGTTGCTACGAGTCGGATTCGACTCAACGGCAGTGAATTTGTTTTTTTTTTTTTGTGAGTTAAATAATAGTTTATTAAACTTGTTTGATTACTTTATAAAGTAGGCAGGAGTCTAAATGATAACTTTTAAGAATCATTAAACAAAGATATAGGACTAGTTTAAGAGGAGTTAAATCCAGCTCCCTGGGAATTTTCTCTATATTCACTTCCCTCCTCCCCGCTAGTTTTTAATGGCCTATTACATTGTTGTTGTTATGTGCCGTCGAGTTGGACCTAACTCATGGCGACCTCTCCTTGGGTTTCTGAGGCAGTATCACTAGGGAAGTAGATTGCCAAACTATTACATTAGGTAAGCAATATATTAGAAATCAGACAGACTCTCATTCAATTTCCAACTCTGCTTCTTGTTGATTATGTGATCTATGGCAAGATATTTTACTTTCTCTTCATTTTACTTTCCTCATCTGTAAAATGAGACCAGTAATCACTAAATAGATCTCAGTCTGCTTCTGAAGATTATATGAAATTAATGAATATAAAGTAAGTCAGTGGGCTCATGCAGCTCATTATAAATGTCAATCCTGCTTTCATCTCCAACTACTACAATACTTGCAAAAAAGTTAAGAGGGAAGATAAGTCACTACAGAGTTAAATAGTCATTATTTTCTCAATATCAAGCAAAATACCCTTCTGTTGACCCTTAATTGTCCACATTCTCCAATATGCAAAATTAAAATGACAATACAGCTAAAAGTTTGAGCAGAGGACAAGGTCATCTCTTGGTCACCTCTATACTGGCCAAATCCCAGAGAAAAGTATACTGACACTTACTAATTGGTACAGCTGGGTCTTCAAGACATCTTTCTATACTATTCATACCAAATGAACACAGGTAGGTATTCTATTAGTTTAATAGACCTTTAAATCCTAAAATTGCTTAAGGAGTTTGCGTTTTGATGAAAATGTTAGAATGTTAATGAAACAGATTTTGTTAGAAATATTTTAGAAGTGATTTTAATGTCAAAAATCTCAACTTACTCTTCAGCAGGAAGGCCAATTAACAATAACTTGTCAGAGTCTTTCCAGTAAGCCACATGAATTTGTTTCCCATTGACAAGAAGGGATGAGCTGGGAAAAATAAAGTCATAATAAGGTTAGAATATCCTTCAGTGTCATAAAATTACAAGCAGTAATTCATAAAAGATTACATATAGTATGATACAAGAACTTTATGCTTAATAAGCAAATTTCTTGGCATATACCTAACAACTACACAGAAAAGGCAAGGGATTATAAGACAACAAAAATATATTCTAAAATATTAAGCACACACACAAACACATGTAGGTGTAGCTGGGTAAGGAAAAAAAGCTAAACCCTAGAACATCCCACTTGATACTTTATCAGTATTGTGAGGCTCTTAAAATTTGAGATAAACTTTCTTGATAATTTCTATAATTGTTGCAATATTAAGGAAACAATAATGGCCTATAATCCTTAAACTTATTGTATGAAAACAAAATAAAAACCTAAAAAAAACCTTTGAACTCTCCTCTCTGTAAGTTAACTTGGCACTTCAAAATCAGGGTTTGATAAATCACTGTGGACTGGGATATTTAGCTCTATAAAGACTATATGATATATATTTTTTAATTTTCAAAAAATTATTTGATATCAATAAGGTGAATAAAACTGTACAGAACACACTGCATGCTAAATGCCACCCCCAAAGTGTGCTGTTCTGTATTTTTCTACCAATGTTGTAAGATTACATTTTCTAACTATATGAAAAATTATGTTCAATCGTTTTACCAAACTGTTGCCTAGCAACAGTTCAAAAAACCCATGAAAGAGCCAAGACTCACAATTTATAATGCTATTCATAAGAGATTTCACCCTCATGACGAAATTCTAAAGTAAGGTCATTAGTCCAGTTCTGTGATTGAAAGTGTGGCAAAATACCCAGATCTACAGCTAGTATGAGAAGCTATACCTTAAACAGTTAACAGGTAGAAATAGTTTAGATGAGAAACAAAATTATCTGCAGATATTATATCTGCCTATATAAAGATCTACATAATAGATAAAATTATATTTTAATAATAGACATGATTTTCCTTGTATCAGCATTTTGTTTGTTGGAACCAAAGAAAAAAACTTGAAAAGAATAGAATTAAAACTAATTGAAAATCAGTTATTACCTAGTAACTTGTGTCCCAGTTACATTTTCCAGCATGTCACAGAGTGTGAGAAATATCCCTCTCACACTTTTAAGTTTCTGAGATGCTTCAGACATTGGATAATGATAAAGAATTTCCTGCTGTTAAATGAAAACAAACAAATCAAACCCTCGTATTTTTCAACCTTATTTTTGTCACATAAAGTTCATACTTTGTTTTAAGAAAAGAAAATAGTGAATTCTTTCAGCATCAGAGCGAGTTTTGTTCAAGCACAGGATATGCCTGGAATTTTAACCCATTAACTAGTATTTAAGACACTACATTTACAAATAAGTTGTTGTTGTTGTTGTTATGTGCCATTGAGTCAGACCCGACTCATAGTGACCCCTCCTTGGGTTTCTGAGGCAGTATCACTACAGAAGTAGATTGCCCAACCTTCCTTCTGAAGAGTGGCAAGTTAGAGATATCAAAATTGGCTACAATGCCAAAATATATGCTAAGTAGGATACTGATTAATTGGAGTAATTAAAATGAATTTCAAATAATGTTTTAAACTTTAATCTCCTTTAAATGTAATATTAAGTAATATTTCTAATACTAATATTTTATTGTGAGGATGGTACAGGACTGGACAGTGTTCTGTTCTGTTGTACATAAGGTCACTATGAGTCAGAACTCACTCAATGGCACTCAATGGCACTGAGCAACAACTAAAACATTTTATTATATTCCATTATACAGATATTCTTACTCCTTGTGGTTATATCTACATAGATACCATATGTAACTTTCAGTAGTGTTTAAATGTAATTACTTTAACACTGGCTTTTAAAAGATACCTTTCAACATCTTTGGGTGAAATCATTAAATCTTTATTTACACTCAACACAAGACTTCAATTAAACTAACAAAGAGGGAATACAAAATTAAATTAAAGGAGGGTAGATAAGGAAAAAAGGAATATTATGATATAATTTTATCTGTTTTAACATTAAGAGTTTGCATACCACAAATTAATATGAATTGCAACTTTAAAAGAGAGCTCATATTATTTTAATTATAATAAATATTAACTCTATAAGATAATTCACAAAATGCTTAATATTTTTCTATTTTCAAGAACAGCAATTTTCCAGGAAACAGTTTTTCACAAAATAAAATAACAAATTTCAAAATCAGAATGTGCATTGTGCTAGAACTTTTATGAAAAAGGATGAACCATTCTGCACCCTGCTGTTATACTATTACTTAACGCAACATGTTATTTTTTGCCCAAAAGCAAATTAAAAGCAGGCAAAATGCAAACTTTTAGATATAAACCATGGAAAATTCAGAGTAACTTCTAGTTGTACTGTTTAGTAACATATCCATAAATAATGAAAGTCCAAATCCCTTAAATATTATTTTTTAGTTTTCTATCA